TTAGTAATTTATTTATCTAAATTTAGCTGGAATCAATGCGATCAGATCGCAATACGCGATCCAGCATGGTTATTGAGAAAATGTCACAATTTTAACTAATAACATGTAATTGATTTCATTTATTTGGCACATACGTCATGGTAACTACACAAATGAACATTTATATAAGCGCGACCTTTAAATTTGTTTAGAGCTCAAAGACTATGATAACTGACTGCCGAAATTACCAAATTCGGTCAAGACAGATATTTTGCCTTTATTTCTACGGAATATAGAACCATATCTCATGGCTTCGCCAAAACATAATTTTATTTCTGTTTCACCAGGCCTAAGCGGCAATCACTTTATGTGCTAGAAAACAAATTTTTTGGGGGCCTTTGACCGGTATATGGGCGGGTGTTTTAAATACCATGGCGAGTCTGGATAACCCTGCCATTAAATATGTTTCTATAAAATTCCTCAACTGATGATTACGTTATTTATTTCACACGAAATACTTTGAAAGTACTGTTATTTTAAACAATGTCTCAGCAAAATGCGATTTCATAACGTTTACTCAATCAAGTTCTAAACTTTCAAAATTTACAAAACAACACAATTTTTAGCATTTTCTAGATAAGCATTATCTAATTTTTTTTGTTTTAGTAATAATTTTATTAATATATACAATACTTTTTCCTTGAACTGCTGAGGTTTTTCAAAACATATGCAAAATTACCATGTATTTTTTTGTAAAAATTTAGGTAATTTATTTTTAAATTTTGTTAGTTAAATAGTGTATTTCATTAAAAAGGAGTCAGCAAAGAGCATTTTAAATGTTTAACATATGGTTTTATTAAAGTGATTTGAACGTAGTGTTCTATACAATTTTACAGATTTAAAAACAAAGACTACCACCACAAAAATGGCAGCTTTTCTTATTCATAAGTGGACTCCCTTATATGAGAAGAGTGACAAATTCTACAAAAGGAACGATTTTTCAAAGAACCCAGCGAAATCGCCTGGGAAGGCCAAAATCTACAACCCACCTTTTATAGCCCTGTCACGTAGAAAATGTACATAGTTGATTCTGGAGGAAACCCTAACATCTTCACTCGCCTAAATAAAAGGCAATACTGTCTTAAGTGGTCTAAAGGCCTAGATGTCACAAGGTGACCAAACCGGACTGTACGATGAGTGTTCTAACATTTCCCAACGGATTTTTGCCTTGGTTTCATGAAAGACGTGTGAGCGGACATTCTCACGAAGATCCTAGATCGTTTGCTGCCCTTCGAAAAACTTACAATCAGCTGCTGCGCCGACGTTCAACCTAAACAGTGCATTTCTATAGATACGCTATTCGTCTATACGCCTTATCAACCACCTCCTGAAACTGAACTTTGGTTCTGACCGGCAACTTTCTGACGACCGCACCACCTTTAGATTAATTTCCTTTACCAATAACAGGCTTTACTGTTAAATCTTATATGCGGTGTACATTTCCTAACGCCCTTCGTGTCTGCTTGGTACTGCTGGCGGAAGCGTTTCTTATTCAGAAGCAATCCATATGTCCACTTTCATACTTTCAGCACACTTTATGTTTTTATGCAGATAGCGGCATGAAATACTTACGCTTACAAGGTATAGTTAGCAGCGACTGTAAAAAGTGTAATTCAAGTGAAGAAGATTGCCAAGAATGATTTGCCTAGACTAGAAATGGCGAATCATATCGCGTGCCACGACAGAACGCCATACGTATTTCGGCGCACGCCAGTGATCAAAACGGTTTGCATTTTATTTCAAAGTTCACTATGAAGTATTTCGAACAAACACGAGTGATCGGTCACGGGGAGGTGGAAGGCACACTCGCTTGTTATTGTCTTGCCTTAGTTACGTCGTAGACTACAATTGCTTATGATGTAAAGTTTGTCTTCGCGTAGCATAGTCAATTACATTGACACAACTGTATTTTGAAGTATATTTCTGTTATTTTTATGATTTTTAATTGTTGCGTAACATGGCTAGTTCAGCAGAAGAACAAAAAAATGCAAGATAGTAAGTGTAACAGAATTTCAAATTCGGTGGACCGAGAAATATATATCATTATTTGTAAAGGCGACAAAGCAGTATATGTTTTATGTTCCAGAATAGTGGTATGCAGAACAACGTCTGTAAAACAGTATTTTAAAACAAACCCCACAAACCCTCTTGTCAAAAAGAGTGAGCCACAGCAAAAATAATTAACTGCTTAGAAACCGTTTGGCAGATGATTAAAATTCATCATGCATTCTGTGACATAGCCATCTGTCGATAGCTATGTCTTGGGGGTTTCCCAGTAGTTAGAGGTGTGGGATTATCGGAAAAGGATATGAGACATTCTATAATTCTTAATATGACTTTTATTAAGAATTTAACTTAAATTACTTATACAACGAACAAACTTATATTAAGTGGGAATAAACCAAAGTACGCCGATTTAATTAAGTCAGATCGCGCAATTAGATCACTTATCAATATAACTAATTATCTGCCTAATCTCGATTCAATATTATACTAGCGTTCAGAATACAATCTTCCTACCTTGGAGGAATAATCATCGACCCAATCAACTTCAGATTTTCCCAGGGTAGGTGCGCAATAGTATGCACCTTGTAAACGGCGTGATCTCCGTGATTCCGAGTAGCCGCCCTAATCACACTTCCACCTGTTCCGAACTAAGCTTTCTCTAAAATTGCCATTTTTTCTCACTAAACTTTCTATCTTTTTAAAGGTTATCTTATTGGCATTGTTGCTTCGTTTTTACTTCTTGGATTTGGGTCGGAAAAGTTTTGCCATTAATCGTGGCCGTCAAAGAACGTAGGAGTTATGTTAGAAGAAGAACGCGAGAGATGTCACAATTCTACAAAAAGTAACATCTTACAATCCTAATATAAATTATTTGTCATCCAATCTGCAACAACAGAAGTCCCACTAATGTTACGTTAATTTTAATTCCACGTATAGCTAAAACATTTATAACTATACACTGCAAAAGGTACTTTTTGGTTGTAAATAGAGTTTTGTGTTGCTAGTATCTAGTTTTTTTATTTTCCCAATAATCACATATCAAAATTATTTGACGGCACGTCTATACCTCATTAAACATTTCTTTAAAAAAAATGGCACGTTGATCCATAAAGTTTCGCCACCCCTGGCCTAGACCCTAAGGTATCCTCCCCCTATTCCTTACCTTCTAGCACTTTCTCGAAAACACCGCTTGTATCGTAAGTCCAGATGAAATATATTTCTACAGTAATTTCCAGAAGCATTCATATGATCGCCAAGTCACCAAAATTGCTGCTAACTTTGCTGTATCGATGCTATTTCACCAAGTTTCCATTGAAACGCTATTATAACATAAAGGATGGAGTTGCGTGCGAATATCACAATTTTTATAATAAATAAATACAATTAAAGCTAATAAAAATGTATTAAACATTCAGATAAAAATTATGTACACCTATTTTTAGGTGAAATAATTATCACAAAGATAAAATATTACAACAAGAATTGTGAAACATTAATTTCTATTATTTGTTCACTGAGGGTTGGTCCGCCATTAGGTGGACAGGGGGTTTGTCCTCTAGTTTTATAAAAAAATTGATACTAATTTAAACCAATTTTTTTTTAGAAAAAAAAATACTTTCTATAATAATGCAAGTGCTACTTTTTTTTCAAAAAAGCAAAAATTCGCTAATAACTAACATGATTACCCTTTTTGTATAGTCTTTCTGTTATAATTAAGCTTATTATAATAATAAACTGAAATAAAACATAACTATTAAAAGACTTGTTTTAAACCAAATGACTTTTACATTTGTCATTTGATTCTGAAACATAGTTATCAGACTGAAGTATTTAGTAAATTGATATATAAAAATAGTTTAAATGTATAGAATATTTTAAGCGAAACTTTATAATTGTACTAATTTTATACTATAAATATAGCTTAAACCATCCCCCGACAATGCTCCCCGTTTGAAATAACTAATAATGCACAATAAGTTAGTACAGTGTTTCTGGTGTCCAAATGTTACCAAACTGCACTTAAGCTTATTCAAGCTTCGACCCCGCCCCCTTCTGCAACTAATCAGCGAAGATTTGAGCCATGTTATTTGAGCTAATAAGGTCACGGAGCTTCATGGCTTTCTGTATACGACTCCAGCCATGAGTTTCACCTAAAATCATCATGCTGAACAGTGGCACTACCTCGCATTTCTAACTAAGCCTCAAATTTTGATTGGATATGGTGTGGTATATAGGATTTATAGAACATTGAAAACACCAGCTGGTCTTTCGACTTCGTCATTTGAACTATTGTTCAAAATTTTGAGATCCGTCGTTAAGAGACTTTGTGTAATTCGAAAGGGACGTTGTGATTAAATCCCAATCCAAATCTACTAACAGTTTATCGCGAATTTAATGTTAAAGGAGATATAATTTATATTATAGTTAGAAGAATACTGATTTTTTCAACCTCGTTATCCTCAATTTCTGCTATAAGTAAAAAACAATAGATTCTTTTACTAGCAAAAATTGGGGTCTCTCTTTCACTCCTCACTTCATTTTGTAACAATACTTTTTTATATTTTGAATAGGTAATAATTTATTCTGAATACTCCATTTATGTCATATTGGGATTTATATTATTTAATTCTTCCGTTATTATCGGATATGTTAAGACATCATGTGTATAAGAAACGTTAGATTTAATTGATTTTTTATTTTAGAATCTGCTTTTAACAAGCAATATAAAAAATATTTCAAAGTCAATTCCTGCTTAGGTCAACAAAGGAAAATTTCATTTTAGCTCTACTTTTTATTAAATAATTACAATTAATATATATATACATACGCCAGAATCATAATATCAAGTAACAACATAGAAAACGATTTTCCTTTCTATATAAGGTGTTAAAATATTATATTTGTTTGTTACTATTTATTCATTCATCCATCAATCACATTCTTAAAAATTAGGCCATCCCAGGTAGGAATCGAACCCTCAACCTTTGGATTATAAGTCCAACGCGCTATCAATTGCGCTACTAAGACACAACGAGCGATTTTTCTTTTTATATGGTGTTGGACTATTATTTTTGTTATGTTACTATTTATTAATTAATTAAATTTAACTACTGAGTTATATAATATTTGAAAAAAACTGCATTAACACCAAGTGTCATCCATTACAAGTTTAAAAAAGTGTATTTGAATTTGAATTGATGAAAAAAAAGTATTTCATTACCGATTGAAAATTTGAACGATATATATAGGGAGGGAATGAACTAATAGTAAGAATCGAAAAATAAAGCTGAAGTTGCAAAAATAATCTTGTTAAAAATTTATTTCAAGTATTTTTCCTGACGTGTCGTATGAAAGGAAGCCCAGTGGCAGACTGATTGCGGATCGCGCTTCCACGTCACAGGTCCGGAGTTCAAATCTCGGACTGGGAAAGGTCGACTCCGTCTGTCATCCTTTCAGTGGGTTGATAAATGAGTACCAAGCTTGTTTGGGAATTGAACACGGGGGGCTTCACGTCAGATTAGCTACTTGACTGAAACATATGCTCATGCACCCCAGCATCTAAACTCACGAAAGCTGAGATAGGCTCAGGAGGGCTTGACCCACATGGGCCGTTGCACCACTGATTTCAGTAGAATGAAGGAGAAGTGCCTTTTTAGAAATTTTACCATAATGAAATCCAAAACGAAAAAAGTAATTTCCTTTTAAGTACTTTAAATTTCATCGTAAATTTAAGAGTAAATTCAATTGTTGATGTGTGAAAAAAAGAAGTATCAGAGAAATTTTGTAATCATAAAAAAATATACTAATCCTTACTAAGATTATAATCGCGAAAGTTTGTTTGAATGTTTGTTCCTCTTGAAGCAAAAACAACTTAATGGATTTTAATGAAACCTTACAATAATATAGCTTATACATCTGAATAACACATAGTCTATAATTTATAAAGATATTTTATGAAGTATCCAAAATATAACAATAATTGTCAAGTAAATAGGAAAATATACTGCCATCTGCAAGCAATTTTGGCGTGCGCTGCAAAAAAGCCCACGACAGCATGCAACTATCTTTTACGTGTGGAGCAAAACGTTCACTATTTGTTTTGTCTACGCCAGGCGTTCGCTTCTAATTTATTCCTTTGATCAATGTAATCCCTATTTTTTTATTTTAGAATAAAACTAAATTTTGAAGGGAGAGGCTGTTTTAAATCTATCTTTATTTGAATAGCTACTATTGATTTTTTTCATGGGTAAGCCATTTTTGTGTGCCAAAATAGTGAACCAGACATACAATAAAAATTAATAATTTATTTCTAGGCACATTTTTTTTATGATTTTATTATGCACATTTGGTAGTAACAAATTGATCCTCATATCAAGATAAACACTTTTACCGCTTCTGGTATTTAAAGTAGATAAACTTTGTCTTTCACACTACATCATTTGGACAAATTTGCATAATTTGCTTGTGGTTAGTAGTTAATTATAACTCTATAATTTTAATTGAATAGGCAGATATCGCATTTTTTAAGTATAAAAATAATAACTACTGTACCATATTCTTTGGAGTGAGTGAATATTAACGTTACACTGTTCGGCAACACGATGGTTTTTGGCGACGGACCACGTAATTTTGAACCATAGTCAACTGACGTGGACTGGCACTCCCCTCTCCTAACTACCACACCAACAGAAAAACGTTTAAGCTCTCGACAGAATTAACTTGCATCGTCCCTACACGACGGATCTTTAGTGGTACTAGGCTCGAACTCGAGACAAGGCCAGCTACGATCCGATATCTTGACCACTCGGCTACCGCAGCCACTGTATTTTTTGGAAGTGTAGAAAAAGTTGTGATGGGCTCCCGCGTCTCTTTTCTGTAACATAACCTCTGGGTTCTTTGACAGCCAAGATTAATGGCAACTCTTTTCCAACCAAAATCCAAGAAGCGAAATGCGATTATGAAATGCAAATAAGATAGCTTTTAAAAGAACAGAAGTTTCAGTAGCAGTATGGCAATTTAGGGAAAGTTATGTTTTGGAAGAGATACGAGTGTGAATTGACGGCCTATCGTAAAGTTACCAAGATATCGAGCCATTGTTACAAGGTGCATACCATTGCACGCGCGCCCAGGTGTTTCTGTACAGTGATTGAATCTTAGTTTGAATTAAGGTAGAACTGATTATTTGATATTAGGACGTAATATTATCAGAATTGAAAGTAGCGGATAATATAATTATTTAGTTAAAGTGGTCTAAAGTACGTGATTCGGTTTAACTATCGCTGTGTGTTTGGTTCATTAGATTCTCACTTACATAAATTTATCTAAATTGTTAGAAGTTTAAGTTATATTCTTAATAAAGTCATATTTTAAGAATTTTAAAATGTCTATTCATTTTGAGAATCCCACACCTCTAATTCACGCTGACAATCAAAGATATGGTCACCAAAGAGCGACCATATCACAAAGTACCTACTAAGAATTATGCCGTGAAAGCGTTAGTCTAATCTTTCCCAAAGCTCTAATAACGCTCGAGTTAGAAAAGTAGCTAGACAGTTGCCAGCTTGATTTTATAGTCAACATTTCGCTTTGTTTTTTATTGTGAGTCATTATTATAATTTAAGAAACGGCGTTGCTTGCGAATATTACAATTTAAACATAAAATAAATACAGCAGAAAATAATATTAACGTATTACATTTTCAAAAAAATCTTTACACTATTTTAAGCGTTCATTACACAAAATTTGTAACAATGTGTTAATTTTGCTGAGCAGAGATCAGCTTAGGAAGGTATTTTCAAAACTCGGCCCTCAGGAGAGTTACGGGGAGTAATAAATTTAAAAAAAAAATCCTTTTTTTAACTAGTTGATCTACAGACTTAAGATTTAACAAACGTGTTTTTCTTTTTTTCTTTCATTTTTTCGTTTAGCTGAGATATGCAAAAAACTTTTTGGGTATAATTTGCAAGTCAGTAAAAAATTAATTCAGTAAAAACTTCTTTATCCTTCAATCTGTATTGTTTAATTCTTTAATTCACCCATGCGAAGAACGGGTATAGCAGCTAGTATTGCATAAAATAAGAAGTAGCATTATATTTGAGAGATAACTAGTTTATTTTCCTATGAAGAACATTGTGATATTGACATTGTTAGGAAAATCAATTCACTATATGCGATCATAATTTTGCTTGAAAAAATATAGTATTTTGTGCGTTCTAGAAGTATTTTTAAGTCGAAAAAAAACAGTATAAATTAATAATTGCTTTTTAAAATTTATTTCTAGGAACTGGAACGTTAAACTTAATTTGAGAATAGAACTGAAAAAAAAAAGAAAGGAAAAATATCTTTCCATCAATAACTTATTTATTTTCAGTATAAAGAATAAAAATGAACTTTTTTCATCTCAATATAAGAAATCAACTTCTAATTTCATGTGCTGTAGTATTCAGAGATAAACTTCCTTTTTCTGATTGAAATTGAGATATTTTCTGTTTTTCTTCAGTTTAAATAATAAATAAATAAGAAGTTTTGAAACAATTTTTGCTTTTATTACTTGTATAATTTTCTAAGTTATAATGGTGAAAATAAGACTTGATTAAAAAGTACTAGTATATTTACGAAAGAGAGAATGTAAAATGAATGTGAGAATGTATTGTTAGTCGCCTCTATTAAGTCTGTAGAATATCTTAGGGAAACAAAAGGAAATATATAAAACTCTGACTGATTTGGGTCTTATCAAACAACCAAAAATTCTATTATTAATGACCTCCTCCCCCATTCACTACATTCCAGCTTGGCGATGAATTTGGAGACCTCTTGTATGTAATATTTTGAACTTATTATTAGCAAGTAAAAAAAGGGAGGAAATAGATGCCAAAAAACTAATTTAACCCTCTGGTTCTTAATCCTCAGTTTAAATTACACTGCTGGCCACCGTAAATGCAACACCCTGAAGGAAGCATGTAAATAATATGAAATTTACAACATGCATTAGCGGAGGTGAGATATGCAAATGATTACAATTTCAGCGCAGACACACATCACGCGTGCTTGTGGCGCCACCTCAAAGAGATATTTAAGGCTTGGAGATTTCGACGATTTCAAGTTCGGCAATAGTGTTTTTCTTTTGGTTTTTTCAAAAAACGATCACTTATATCTCGTAGAAAACAGCGATCAGCTTTTGATCAAGTATCCGAGTTCGACAGAGGAAGGATAGTGGCCTACCGAGATTGTGGATTATCTTTCAGGGAAATCGGTAGTCGTGTTGGATGAAACCAAACAACTGTAATGCGGATATGTGACCTTTAGATGCAGGAGGGTACGATAGACCGACGTGGTCGATCGCATCCCTCTCAGTGCACCACTTCACGTCAGGACAGGTAAATTGTGCGCATGGCAGTGACGGATCACTCAGTCACATCACTAACCATAGCACAGCACTTTGAGTCTGTAACGCATCATTCAGTGTCTGCGAGTGCCATTCGACGCCGTTTACGGCAGAATGGTTTGTCCGCAAGACGTCCATTGCTTGGTCTATCCTTGAAGCAGAACAACAGACGTCTTCGCCGTCAATGTTGTGACGAAAGAAGGATGTGGGTGGCAAAATGGAATGAAGTTGTCTTTACTGACGAGTCACCCATCTGTCTGCAACACCACGATGGTCGGATTCGAGTCTGAAGACACCGTGGAAAAAGGATGCTGAACAGCTTCGTTATGCATCGCCACACTGGTCCTGCACCGGGTATTATGGTATGGGGTGGTTTTGAATATCACTCTCGCACTCCTCTAGTACGCATTGCCAGTACTTTAAACAGCCAGCGCTACATCTCCGAAATGTTGGAGCGAGTTGTCCTTAATTACCTTCAGGGCTTGGCCACAGCCATATTTCAACAGGATAATGCGCGGCCACACGTGGCACGCATTGTCCAAAGGCTCTTCGTCAATCACCAGATTGAATTGCTTCCCTGGCCGGCTCGCTCTCTGGATCTTTCGCCGATAGAAAACATGTGGTCTATGATTGCTCAACGATT